CCCCCCCCCCTTGTCCTCTGACTGCCTCCTCCTGGGACCCCTGCTCCTAACTGCCCTCCAGAACCCCACCCCCTACCTAAGCCTCCCTGTTTCTTATCCCCTAACTGCCCCCTCCTAAGACCCCCCTCCCAACTGCCCCCCAGGACCCTACCCCCTACCTGTACCCTGACTGCCCAAAACCTTATCCACACCCTCCCCCAGAAAGCCCCCCCCGAACTCCCGACACCCCCCCCCCCGTCTCTTGACTGCCCCATCCAAAACCTCCCTGCCCCTTCTCCGACCCCCTAGCCCCCTTGTTGTTGGCCTTCGCCTAATGTCTCTGTGAACTTGCTCAGGAATGACCTGAGCCGTTCGTCCCGGCACGCTGGGCAGCAGGGGAGGAGGAGCTGGGGAGGAGCTCCAGACTGCCGGAGGTGATCTGCGAATGCAGGGAGGGAGGGAGTGATCTCTGCTGCAGGGGAGAGGAGGAGGGGCTCTCTCTGGCTATCAGAGCCTCATGTAAGTGGCACCATCCGGCCAGCTGCCCTGTTAGCCGCGCGCGCTCTGCATGGGGCGGGGAGAAGTCCGGATATTTACAAATTCCCCCCGGACGCTATTTTTAGCTCAAAAATCCGGACATGTCCGGGGGAATCCGGACGAATGGTAACCCTAATTAACAGCTAAAGATAAAAACTTAAACCAAAAGTATTTAAATAAAAAAAATTCTACACTGAAGTCAAATTAACAGTCTCATCTAAAGTCACAAAAGAAAGGAAATTTAAAATCTCAGATTTGCCCCTCTGCTTATCTCAGACCATTGTATCTTCTTTAAGGATAGAAAATCATCCTGAATTTTAAGTATTAACTTTGAATGTCCTTTTTCAGTAGTTTTAAATCATACCCTTAATTTTTACATAGTTTTGTTATGCTTTTATTACCAACCACTGACCTTTCCAGTTGTCTTAAAGTATTTGTATTGCTATTAAAAATTACACTGTGATCCATTTAAGCTGTACGTGAACTTTCTCTCAAATAAATGTGCAATGTTTTTTAAAATCTTTCCATAGCTGAGCAAGAAGAAAATACTGTGAGAAAGTCCTTTATGGGGAGCCCTATGTCAATCTTGGATTTATATCAACACAGTCTCTATGGCCATTATGGAGAGGATGGGCCTGAACAATTAACACATTACAGTTTTATTGAGCAGCTGAGTGGAGCTTCCAGTAAAGAAGGCAAGAGCAAAGAGATCCCTAGTGTGAGTTATCTTGCTTTTTATGATATTACCTCTTACTTAATCCAGGAATATATCTGTCTCATTTATAGTCGTTTTCTGCATTTATCATTAGTATTTACAGAAACCAAAAAGACACCTGAAAATATGGCATGAGTTGCTGGGGGAGTAAAGCAAACCAAGCACCTTTTTAATTGAGGTTGTATAAGTGTGGTGATCTTGTAGTCAGCTCTAGCTTACAACAGACTTCCAAAACTTACCATTAGAGACATTCTGGAGCCCTAAGATATATGGCAAACTTCTGTTTTAGGATAGCAGTAAAACCCATTATTTCTCTTTGGAAATGCCTACGCTGCAGCTGGGAGTGTCTCCCAGCCCAGGCAGACAGATGCATGCCAGCACTGCTCAAGCCAGTGCTCTAAAAATAGCAGTGTGGACATTGCGGCACAAGCAATGGCTCGGGGTAGTCACCCAAGCTCAGAGTCAGGTGGGCTTAGATTTGGACATCAAGCCCCAGCTGCCTTCCCTGCTGCGACATCCACACTGCTATTTTTAGCATGCTAGCTTGAGCAGAGACAAGTCTGTCTACCCATGCGCCTAGTTGCAGTGTAGACATAACATTTGTGGCTGCTGCTCCACGCTGAGTCAGTTTACAAGAGGTTGCATTGCATTTAGTGCAGCATAGGCCTATTAAATGATATTTTTTTAAAAATTCAAGTGGAAGTCTGCTGTGGTTACCAACTGTTTTGTGGGCTCCCCAAAATACCATCATATAGTCAGACGTAGCTCTGTTAAGACTAAGTCTTTCTTACCACCAATTTCTGTGCAAACTTCATTTGACGTAATCAAGAGCTCCACAAAGAGATTAGTAGCAGAGTATGAGCCTTACTAAGGCAGTCTCTACCACCTTGAACATACAATACCTCTGAAATAATGTATTCTACCACATTTTCTCGCTTTCTCTCCCTCCCGCATACACATTCTTGTTTTCTGTCCATTCCTACCCCTCCCCACCCACACACACACAAACCAATATTCTCTCTCTCTCTTTCTTAGTGAGGTATTCAATTCCAAGTATTAAAAGGGAAAATACTTTCTATGGCAAGCAGTCACAGGTGCAATACAATTTTTAATGCCTGTTTTATAGAGAATCTTTTCTTATGTGTAAACAAAAAAAAAATCTGTTTCTGTAAGTATAAATTTTATTAAAAGAACCTAGAATTAGATTTAAGGAAGAAACTGAGTGGTGACTTATATCCAAGGCTGCTGGAGTGTATGTCATTTCTGCTCTGGGAATGCAGCAACTGATGGCTTCAAACACACTGATCAAGGTCCCACACAACTCTCATCTCTGAACCTCCGTGCTTTATGGACAGAAAATTGCATTTTCCCCATAGTAGATGTAAACCTGCTTGCTAATTTATATCATCCATAAATGGTGGACTTCTGCACCACTTAATACCTAAGATACCATATCTCTGAGAAGTGAAGACAGAGCGTTTAGGAGGGTCCACACTAGCCCTGAAGTAGGTGGCATAGAGAGGCCATTGGTGGCTGCTAAAAGGATGGACTACTGGATCCATGATTACATGGATCTAGTTCCTCCAAATCTCTGCCTATGGGTGCACAGATAAACTGGCAGGTATTTCAGACTATAGTCTAGGAATAGTAGCTGTAGTGGACCTACAGTGCTAACCACAGCCTGTTTCATACCACCTCCCCCACCAACCCTGTAAAGTTCCCTGCAGAAAGGTGGATTACTTGGACTTTGTGTGTGAAGAGGTGAAGTATTTTTTGCTAAACCCTGCCCATTGCCCCTTAAAATACTACTGGTGAGCATGTACCTTCATTCTCCCAACTCTTCTCCAGCTGGGGCTTTTTTACCTCATTTTCAAAAGTGCAGTGAAACATAAATAAAAGTAGGTTGTTAACAGAGAATCAGTGGCTAGAACCTGGAGCTAATGATCCCAAAGCAGACAGCATCAGCTGTCAAGTCAGGGACTTCCAGCCTTGCTTCCACCCTGCCTACCAGACGCACAGCAACCAGGCCCAGAAATTCCACTTGAGCAGTAGCAGCCTCAAGGAGTTTGGAGGGGACATGCTTAGGAAAATTTCTCGACCTTCAGGGCTCCTTCTCTAAAGAAGCCACCACCAGCTACAGCTGAGGGCACAGGGTGCAAATCAGGGTCCTTCAGGCTCAGTGCCCCTTAATCGCAACCAGACCCTCCTGCGACACTGGTCCTAGTGGCCTTCAAATGAGGAGCAGAAATAGCCAAGAAGCACTTGCAGGGGTCAGACTTTGGAAAGCATCCAGGTTCAGCTTTAGCTGGTGCTGCAGAAGATAAGCCTCTGGCTTGCATGCCTCCTCTTTGCTGTCCATCCATTTGCTTCCCTCCACGGGGCTCAGAGCCACTTGACATCATTGTGATCACTCAGCTCTGAGATCTGGACATGGATATATTATTTTCTCATTAGTTGAATTGTCATTGGTTGTTGGTCCATCTTCTTCCCCCATTGCCCTTATCTCTGCAACCCTTCATCTGCCAAATCCCTCATTCACATCCCATTGTGCTTCTCTCCCCTTACTCTCCTCCTCCTCTTCTTCTCAGTCCTACAATCTCTTCCCACCATTCCTCTCCCTCACTTCAACCCTGACTGCCCCATTGAAAAAACAGCTAAAACTAAATGATTATAGCAGAAATTAAGCGAACATATTAATTTTTTAAAAAACGCAGCTAACAAAGCCTGTGCCATGTCATCGCTCTCTTCACTTTGCATATTGAATCTCTTTCCCGCAGCCTTTCTCTTTTTGATGGTAAGCTCTTCTCAGCAGGGGCTGCATTCTACTCTGTAGCAGTGCAGCACCTCGCACATTTTGAGCACTATTGTAAATATACTGGAGGACAATAATAGAAAACAATGCAAGGGCTCTTGTATGTGGCACAGTGGGTTAGATCACAAGAGAAAAAAATGCATTTTTCATCCTTGACCCCCATTTGTGCGCTTAAGAAAATCACTGTACAATTCCATAGAGCTGGCAGTATCTGTTAAATAGCAGAGAGCATTGGAGGTTAGGCCCAAAGTGCACAGTCAGAATGACATGGAGGAAGCTTTCACAGCTCTTACTTACACTGTGCCTTCAAGGCAGTGCTCTGAAACCTGCACTTTACTGAACACTAAATTCACTCACAAACTTAGAAAGAAAAATCCTGACATGTACCTACTTTGTTTCACCATCTACCAACATTTATCTAATGACTAGACTATGCTCTGACTTTACAATTAGAAAAACACGAAGAAAAGAAAACAAAAGAACTATACTAAAAAGGATAAATGAGGGGAAACAACCATTTAATTCCTCACCTTAAACATTTAGAGATTCACAGCTTAATTATGTAGACATAATGAATTGTCTCAAAACAAATATTGCAATTCTGCCTTTGCAAGGCCACGGTCTTTTGCTATTAATAGAGCGATCAGATTTGGTTGTATTATATCAAATGGGCTAAAAAAGGTTGCATTTGCACTTAATTAAATTTTACTGGTATATTATAGTTTTTCATGTTTAAATAATGTGCAAAATCAGCATTAGGTTAAAATTAAACAAAACTCACTGAAATGGCCTTCAGGACCTTGTAAAAATGCATCATTAAACTGGAAAACAGCAGGTATAGCCCAGCACCAGCATTTATCATGCATTAAGTTGGGGGGCTTTTAAGATTACTTTTTGAATATTTGAAACAGTGCTCAAAAACAGTGTTGCCTCTTGGTGAACAGGGAAAGCTCGATAAAACACAAGGGATTTGCCTATTAGTATTAAACTTTTCAGAATGACAAATGAGGAGCAGTGACCATGAAAAGCAGGTTGCCCCTGAACTCCTTGTTTGAACCAGCACAGCAATTTTTTTCTCAGCTGTAATTTGTCCGCCACAAGAAGATCCATAGTCTGTTTAAATTAGACTTGTGTGGCTTGGAACATTACTCACAAAAAATGGGGAATACTGGCAACAAGGACCTAAGTCAACGATTCTGAAAAATCAGGCAAATTTTGGAAAGGAACTGTGATCTATAATGTGGCCTTCTAAAAAGAAGATGGTACGTGCCTTGAATTTAATTCTTGAATGATATAGGTGAAGGTTTTTTTTTTTTTTTTTAAGTGTCATGATGGACAGAATGAGTTTACCCTGCTTGTCAAAAGAGCAGTGTGCCGTGGCCGTACCTTAAATTAAATTGGACTGTAAGGCACCACTAGTAAGATCGTGGTTACAGGCTCAGTGCTGTAATGAGACATTTTGGAAGGAAGCTCTGCTAACCTGGCACTATTGCAATATGATTTGTCTCTCCTCCCCCAGCACACATTCACCAGTGCTACCCCCAAATACACACACACAAATACATTCAGTCACCAAAAGGGTATTTACATAGCAAGGCTTCAGAATATAAAGCAATCAATAGACAAAATACCTTTCTTATAGAGGGGGAACTAAACAGAATGTTTGAGAAATTACACATTGTTTCTAAGAATGTAAAATAAATATGTAATGTTGCTCAATCCAGTCTTTGATCTGAGATATCCTAAACTTTCTGTTTTGGAAACTATTTTTAATATCTGCAAATTTCAGCTCACCAGTAAGAGATCATTTTAAATCAACTAGGAAAATGTAGGCATGCCAGGAAATTCTGAAATACACAGATTTTTCAGTAAGTTACCATTTTTATAGAAAAAAACCCCATAATTTCAAAAAGAAGATTAAAGTAAACTGAAGGATGTGGCTAAAACCATCATCTAAATTAAAAGGATTAATATATTTTTCTAACATGATTTTTGCTAATTGCAGTATTTCAAAACTGGGAGCACAATTATTTTTATATGCAGCAATTAAATTTGATTTTAATTAAACAATAACTGATCTAATTGAATGAACTCCTATAAGACCTGTACCAAAGACTGTCAAAGTCAATAGAAGCCATTGATTTCGGCGAGCTTTAGATCAGGCCCATAGTATACAGAATATTGCTTCTAT